CCTCCTGAGCTTCTTCTTCTGTCACTTTGACGTGTTAAACGTGTATTTCTGTGATTTGAGTGCTTTTCACTCGTCAAGGTAATCCTCTGAGCTCCTGATGATCGTCTTAGAAACTGATTTAAACGCTGATGGGGGGGGGGGCTTTGGATGCTCCGCACTGACCCGGCACTGATGAGCTTTCAGATGGAGAGAGCCGTTTATTAATTAATATTTCAGGACATTAGGGAGGAGATTAAAAACCGCGTGAGAGCGCTTTATGTAACGGGGAGTGGGATGATTCCTGCACGGGATTCTGGGAGGTTTGGGATACTTTTTTTTGTGTTGGGGGGGGGGGTGGGGGGGGGGTGTTCTTGACTGAAAGAGAACTGAGAACATTATGTTCAACTCTCTTTAAACCTCGTAGCTCTAATTCAGTGTTAACCTTCATTCATCCCTCATCGGAGTAAGATCGCTGGGGGGGGGGGCGCAGGTGGTGAAGGAGCAACCCTCTGCAGCGTCTTCATCAGGTGCGATGTCATTGCCACCGGGCTGTAGTGGTTGACGTCCTTGGGGTGGGGCCGTGGTGAGCAGGGCGGTGTCACTGAAAGTGAACGTAGTTAGGACCAGAGCACCGACCTCGGAGCGAGGGCCCAATTGTATCTGAAGGACTTCTTTCTTTTTAATCGCCCAAATGATTCGCTTCTTTGGGGTCCCTCTGCTTTGTTTTTGCTGAAAGTGGCGTTCGCAGGGCTGTAGACGTCGACTTTGAGTTCAAGCAACATGATCCAAATGTTAAAAAAAGGAATGAATCTGTACGAGGTCAAAGGTCAGTCAGACGACAAAGTCAGAGAAGCCCGAAAACGGACCTCTTCTGTAGTCCTGTGACGCCGTGAGGTCATCGTGCGCGCCTGCACTCTGTCGCGCGCTCTCTCTCCCCCGCTCTCTCGCTCTCTTGTGCACGCAGCAATTTTATGAATAAATAAAGAAATTCAATAAAAACAGGTCGGACATAAAGGCTGCTTGAGCGGACCGGCCAGGTATCGCCTATGTGTGGGAAACACTCAACGAACACTTGAGGCTAATGGAGGAACGGGGGGCAGCAGCCGAGGCACAAGACTCAAGAAAACTCAGAAAGCATCACAGACAGTGGGACTCGGGTGTTACACTCATTGTAGACAGTCATGACTCACAGAGTTATTTTCAGAGGATATTCTTGATTTCTACATTTAAGTGTGAAAAATCACATATAAAGCCTTTAAGGCCCACTGAGACTTCATCCTGTGATTTAAAACACCTCAGACCAAGCCTTCATCCAAGGTGACCTTCATCTGGTTGCTCATTTGGATATTGAACTACGTTAAGGACCTATTTGTGCACAGCACACGACACTATGAGACAAGTCTTTCATCTTCCCTTGGAGAAACAAGCCAGTCCAAGCCTGGTGTTTTCTGACTGAGTGAGTACATCTTATTTTCATTACTTTATAAAAATCATTATGGTTGTAAAAAGATGATTAGGCATATTAATAACGACACATAGACCTTGTCTTGCCGACTTTAAGAATATGGTCCTTACTGTTTTTATCTGTTTTTGTTTTAAGCCTTTTATTTTGACAGAAAACAGACATCTACGCATGTTTACCTTTAACAAATGCATTCATCTATATGATAGAAAAAAAACAACGAGTGTTAAATTTTGGACGATGTCGTTAAACTATTTAAAGTGTTTTTGAGTCGTGTCATTGTATCATGTATGCTTTTTGGATTTCATTGATGTAATGCTGTCTTTGTCATTTATGTTTTTTTGTTCTGTTTCTTATTCTCATGTTGTTTGTTTTACTTTTCAGTGAAGTCAAGAGATGGATTATAGATTGGCTTTGCTTTTATCCGTCTTTGGTAAGAGTGACAATCTAATATACGATATGTCCACATCGTGTTTCTAAAGTGAACAGATTGAAAAAGCCGTCAGACGTTATTCAGACTAGCAGCCACAGACATTATGTTTTCCTCTTAGTTTGTGCTTGATCTCGCTCCACAGGACTCTGCAGCTCTTCCCTTTACGTGCTTCGACAGTTTCACTACATCGACTTGAAAATGACCTGGGCCGACGCTCAACATTACTGCAGAGATAAGTACAGTGACCTGGTGACCATTGAAAGTGTGTCTGACATCAGCAGGCTCAACAGACCTGACGTCTCAAAAGCATGGATTGGACTACATGATGATCCGGAGGACTGGAAGACAACTATGGGCAACGAAATCAACTCCTGGAGATGGTCAAGTACCGGTGTAACCAGCAAAACTGGTTATTACAACTGGGGAACAAATCGGCCAGATAACTATTTAGGAGAGTATTGTGTGAAAGCAAAGCTGAATCATCTCTGGGATGATGGGAAGTGTAACTATGAAGTCTGGTTTCTTTGTTACACAGGTGAGATCAATGTTACATGATTTTACTCAAAAAGCCTTACACAGCAATGTTATTTATAGTTGTTTATCTAGACCTTTTTATCTCAGTGATGAAGTCAAAAGACAGTAAAAATCGTTGTTTGTTTGTTGGTGGTCTGACAGATGCGTAGATTGTGGCTGCTGACACGAAACGTCAGTGTGTGTGCCTTCTGTGTTGTAAATGGGAATGTGTAATAACGTGATGTGGTCACATTAATGCAGACTCAAAGAGTCAGAAAAATGATGGATCAATCCCAACGTAGTCTAAGTTGTTATGCGCAGTCTAGTAGACAAATAGTTCAATGATGTGGTTAATGGGGCGGCTGTGGCTCATTTGGGAGAGTCGTCGCCTCTCAACCGGGTGGTCGAGGGTTCGATTTCCCAGCTGAGCAACATGTCCGATGTGTCCTTGGGCAAGACACTTAACCCCGCATTGCTCCCGCTGCTTCGGTGGCGGTGTATGAATGGATTAGTGTTGAACTTACTCTCTGATGTATGTCACTTTGGATAAAAGCGTCTGCTAAGTGAATTGTAGAATTGTTGAATTAATCTCTTGTGATGCCATTCAGAATATGGATCAAAGAGCGCCAAAAAAAAAACAGTCGACAATCAGTTGCAAAATCTGACAAATCTGGTTCAACTATGTAAATCCTTCATCAGGGACATGCCTAATAAGAACTATTCATCCATCCATTGTCTATTCCGCTTTTCCAATTCGGGGTCGCGGGGGGCTTGACCCGATCAGGGCTGTCATTGGGCGAGAGGCGGGGTAACACCAACGTCGTGGAGAGAACCAATGCATGCACGGGGAGAGTACTAGACGTCAACACATAACTGTATGGAATGCTTAGAAAGACTACCCGGATCGGGTTACTTTGCTCACTCCATGGTGCCGGTCGGGTTTAAACCAAAGAGAAAACATGGAGCCGCCACCAGCAGGGATGGGCATGGAGGTTGGGTGCAATGTAGACCGGACGGCAGGCAAAGCCTTTGGCCTTGGCGTGCTGATCCCCAGTGACAAAAACCACATTGTCAACCAATTCTGCTCATCAACACATTACTGTTTAGAATGCTTAGAAGCACTACCAGGTTCAAGATACTGTATTTGTAGCTGAAGGTAGATCTGATCGTCTTCTCTTGATTGTTTTACTTTTTTTGTATTGTAGCTACAAATCCTGCAAGCCAGAAAACATATGTCTTAATCCAAGAAGGGAAGAATTGGAAGAATGCCCAGACCTACTGCAGAACACACTACACTGACCTGGCTATGATCGAGAATGCTGAGGAACAAGCAAACATGACGTCAGTAAAGGGTATTAATTCGGCGTGGATCGGCATGTATCGAGAAGCATGGAGGTGGTCTGACAACAGAGACAGCTCCTTCAGGAACTGGAAAGTGAATAAGCCAGATAACAATCAAAGTTACTGTGTGATGAGTGATGAGAAATACCAATGGGAAGACCTTCATTGTAAAGACAAGCTTCCCTTCTGGTGCCAGGAAGGTAATAACATTTCTAGTTCATATTGCTACTTTTCTGTTGTTGAGTCAAAAATAATTCTCTCCTCCCTTGGTCGTCACATGTTTCTGTGCAGTCCCCAAACAGCACATCTTGATGAAGTTGAAGATTCAGACTGATGCGGACCTTTCAGATCCAGCTGTAAACGGCAAGCTCCTGCAACAGGTAGAACTCCATCCAGTGGTTTTCCAATCAAAGTGTGTGTACTGATTTGTCTGATTCTTCGATGCCTTACAAATCATGAAGCCGATGGCTTAAATGCTGAATTCCCCAAATACTTGAATGGCTTCCTGCTTTATGAAAGTTGATTCTCAAAACACTAAAATTGTGTTTACCAATGCCTTTCTGTTAAAACGTCTTTTATCTCTCAGTTAGATGCTTTGCTTTCTGAAACGACGGGACAGGCTCACCTAAAACTGAAGTGGAAGATTCAACCCAGAAAACAAGAGGAGGAGAAGGAGAAAGCCGAGGATCAGTGCCCACTGAAGTGAAGGCCGGCTAAGCTACGTTTACTGTTTGAAAGTTTCAAGCCTCTTTGGGGTCGGTTTGAGGGTAGAGTCAGTAACTTTTTTCGTTGCAGCTTGTAAACAAAACATTTAATCTGGGCCCCTCCTCCTGGACTCCCTGCAGGACGTCTTTTGGTCTTTGCCTATATTGCAAACTAGCTAAACAACTAAATCAATGTATTCAAATAGAAAATCCTGACTTGTTACACTCCTTTTATTTCACTGCAATACCTGGATAATTGAAGTTTCTCCAGTTTCCAAGTAGAGTGAAACCTCCAAAACCAAAATGACTTATAGAGACAGTGCTGACGTTTGACTGTCTAATTCAAGATGTTACCAACATCATCAGGTGACCTCTTCCAGATACCTAATTTTCATATGGAAATAGAAGCCTTGTAGAAACATCGGGATGGTTTGTATAATTGGTGGTGTTGTTGTTCTTGGGTGTTTACATTTGGGCTTTGGTCTCTATGTCTTGTAAGCCTGTTTGGGGGCGGGGGCATTTTGTTCATGCGTGATACAATTATCAAGTCAAATCAGAAGCTTTCCAAAAGGGAACCTGCAGATGCTTTTGTTTCCAGTATTGGGCAATGGCTGGTGATACCCACTGATAACGGGGGAATATGCAGTTTTGTTGTTTTGATTAACAATTAAATCAATCCGGTAGAGTTAAAAAATTGACTCTTATTAAAGTTAGGAGCCCCAACTGAGTAGTTTCTTCTCTTGTGGTACTTTCCATATGTTTCTGTCCCCTTACCCATTCCCCTGTTGGGTAGGCTTCCTTTGGATGATCAGTTATAATCTTTATAAATTTTTTCACATTCCTTGATGTAATGGTCTTTATTCCCATCAACGTTTTAATCTCTTCCTAAACTTGTCAATATATAGACGTCAATGAACCATCACTGACAAATAGATGTTTTGAGAGTGATATCTACTATTAGATTAAAGATACTGACACACCAAGGAGTTCGTCGGCCGTCGGTACTAGTTTTTGCGGTGTTTTCAGTCAATTCGACATGTTGAAGCGGAATCTCTCTGATTGGCTGTTGGGAGGTTTCATTTCTCTCCAGCTCTCCTCTCAGGTTCAGGAAAGCCCCTTGAGCATGTCTCTGTAGTATCCATGCTTTTACCCATTAGTGCGGTTTCTCCTTATTTGTTGGCTCCGCCTCTTCTTTTCTTTTTCCACTAAAAGACCAAGAACTGACAACTTTTTATCAGACATTATTCTCTATTAGTAGACGACCTATAATATGAGTGGTGACCGACAGCGGTGTGAAAATGGTCTTCTCGTATCATAGCAACGGACTACCGCCCCCTGCTGGCATGGAGAGTTATTTCCTCTCACACATGTGCAGAACGTACGTGGTGATTGGCCGTCAGCTGTAGTCTTTGCGGTGTGTTCAAGTGACACTTTTTGGACCAAGACGTGAGGCGATTTATTTAACCATATTTAGGTTTTTTTGGGGCCTTTTTGCCTTTATTGAATAGGACAGCTGCAGACAGTAAATGTTGGGACAAGAGAGTACGGTACGATATGCAGCGACGGTTTTGTGCTTTTGTTTGATTTCCCTTGTAGGAAGGATCTGGAGCACTCTATATTTGTCGTGTTATACCCTTCTGTTTATGTATTTAGTTAACACTTTGCCATAGCTGAAATAAAGCATTAAGTTGTTTTGATGTGTGTTAAAAAAATAAACAATGGTCATACAAGAAGACAATCACTTGTTTCAGCGTCTCATCCTTCCAACCAGCACAACACTAAACACTTCATGGACACACTGGCAGCGCTAGTTGGACACGGGGCCTAAGATGTAACAACAGTCATTGTTTTAAACTGATTTTTTATTCCTGACCTCCTGAAGACAAACAGCTCCCTAAATAAAAAAAATGATGAAAATCTTCTTGTAGGATTACGAATGAAATATTTCAGGGACTAGTGTGGGCTTGTTCTCCTCAGTCCGGGTGCAGCCGTGAGTCTGACTCTCTTAGTTCATTTTCAGTGCCCAGCGTTGGTCTGTGTTTTGTGTTGATTGAGGCGACTGCAGGAGAAACGTCACACAGATGGAAGGATGTGGTGATGTGGTGAAGCCGAGGGTGAGATCTTGAAACAGTGAAAACAGAGTGTGATGTTTTTATTCAGCCTCGCCGTGGCCCCCTCTTTAGGAATGACTCGTTTAATGTGAGATACAAACGCGGTCTTTCTCTTTCTGTGTTTCAGAGGAGCTTCCTGGGTTTCACCTCCTTCTCCATCAGAGATCTGTTCAAATCCAAGGAGCCGCACATCTCACTCAGCCTCAGGTAAACGCACGAGTCGAATGTTTCTGTGTTATCTGTTCTGCCACTGACCTTTCTCTGTTTTTAAAACTATGACACTAAACATCTATTCTCTTCTTTTCTATTTAATGTCCCATCCAAAGGTTTTACTTTAACCTGAAACATTTTACCTCCTTCTGATTGAGGAGTTTTGTCATCTTGTTGTCAAAGTTTTATTCCAAAACTTCTAACTTTAGATTCTGCTCCTGAATGCTCTGGATTTGTTTGGACCAGAGAAGGTAGGCGCTTTTAAGGCGACCCCCCCCCCCACACGGCCGTTTTGGACACCCCTCGGTTTGTCAGATATGAGAGCAGTTATCAGGTCAACAGGTGTTACAGTGATGGAAGCGGTCAAGAGAAGTGGTTCAGATAGAAGTGATTGTACCCGACCTAAAAAGCCTCTGCATGTTTCTAATAAGCTCCACGAGCAGAAACGTGCTCAAACTAGGATCAATATTGGAGATGCTTTTGAAAAATGGAGAGAGGTTAGAACACAGAAAGGTTTACAGACCCATGCAGAGCTGGATAAACACTGAAGCTTCAGAGTCCACCACATGGTGACCTGAGTGAGCATCCACTCTAGAGAGGGGGGGGGGGGACAGCTCTCTATGATGTTTAGAATTTAGACTGCAGTACCCATTTTAAACACTAGGGGTCAGAGTTTTATATCGCTCTTTTAAAATCAACTTTACTTTGAAACACAGCTTTTAATGCTTCTTCTAACATCTCTGTAAATTGTTCAAAACTTCTTTTGGGCTTTTTAATGATGTATTGTCTTTTGTTTATTTCACTTAAAAAGGTTCTGAAGTGAAATGAATGAAACTCACCTCACACAGACTTCACATTGGTGTGGGAGGTGTCCCCTGATAAGTTGTTGCTTGGTTACCTGTGGCCAGATGAGGAAGTGAGAGGAGGAGGAGGTGTTGCTCCACCTCCAGTGAGAGTTATAAAAACAACGTTGATCCTCTTCCTGTTTTCATTTCACAAACCCTTTCAAAGAGAGAGAGACACACACAGATTGGTAGATCGAGATAATAAGGTGTGAAAGAGAGAGAGAGAGCGAGCTTCAGGTGTGTCTCTGCCGGCATGTTGCATCCAGGTGTGTCACATTACTCAAACATACCTGCCACAGGTTTGCAGAGTTTTACAATCTTTGTGTTTCTTCCACTTCTGTTTCACATCGAGGGAGGCTGTCTTGTTTACATTTTTATCTTGTTAGCTTTCCTTGTCAGATGTTAAGTCACTTATCTTTGGTTTGTTGAAGTCTTTTAGTCTTTTTATTTAATTTCTGTGGAGCTAGTCATCGTGCTAAGGTTTCTAATTGTCTTTGTTTTCATGTTTCTAGTTAGTATTGTGTTGCTTGTTGTCAGCTTCATGATATGTGTGATCCTGTCTTTAGTCAGCTCCGTCTTTATAATCGTTTTGTTGTTGATTGAGATTCGGATTCAGAAAACTTTATTTATCCCAGAAGGGCAATTCAATTTCACAACCTACCGAGCCATTGAAAAACGCAAAGACAACATAAAAGGAAACAAACACATCACCACAGCATTCAAACAGTTACATTCACACGTCAGTAACAACCAGCGCTATCAATCTACAATTTCCTAATACGATGACAGACTTGTTTAGCATTCAACAGCCTGATAGCTGAAGGGATTAAAGAGTTGGAGTATCTATTTGTCCTCCTTGGAGGGGCAAGATAGCGCCGTCCAGAGGGCATTAAAGAAAACTCAGATGAGACAACATGTTCAGGTTGGTTTATGATCCCTTTGGCTTTCTGGACCACACGCTCCTTCCACAGGGAGCTCAAGTCTTTCAGCTGGACTCCAATAATCTCAGAGCAGACGTTTACGATGTGGTTCAAACTGTTCTTGTCCGTCACAGACAACCCATTGAACCAACAGAGAAAAGAAAATGTTAAAAGACTTTCGATAAAAGAATGATAAAAGCTACATAAAATGCTTTGTGAAACACTGAAAGAGTTCAGCCTCCGCATCAAATAAATTCTCTGTTGGTCTTTTCACGATTGACTCTGTGTTTTCAGAGAACTTAAATTCAGAGTCGAACACTGTCCCAAGGTATTTATATGAGTCCACTATTTCAACCTCTCCACCGTGGATAATGCAAGATTCAGGGTGAAAACAGTCCCTCCTAAAATCTATGACCAATTCCTTGGTTTTCAGGACATTAAGATCCAGGAAGTTGTCATCGCACCACTTAACAAAAGTTGGTAGAGCACCGCCATGGCCTGATTCTGAGCCCTGAAGGAGGGACAGCAGAACAGTGTCATCTGAGAACTTTACCAGATAACTGCTCTCTTGTGATGTTCTGCAGCTATCTGTGTACAATGATAAAAAGCAGGGGGGAAAGGACACAGCCCTGAGGGGAACCAGTGTTTGACATAATTATTTTCGACATTTGACCATTCATGAAAATCTGCTGAACTCTGTCTGTTAAAAAGTTTAAAAGCAACATTCAAATCTGACCAGGAAGTTTAAAGTGAGAGGATAAAGTTATCTTTGTCACTTGGGCTGTGTGTTTTTCTCAAGCAGCAAACCTCCGGTGTTGAAAAATGAAGCCGATGCTGAAGTGTTAAAGTCCTGCAGTTCCTGGAGTGTCCACTAGAGGCTGGCTGCAGAAGCACAGGAAGTCACATACACACCCATTCTAAAAAGCCTGTTTTTACAGCAGAGATGAACATGTTTACAGCCTGGTTCAAAAAACCAAATAGGTGTGATTAGCTCATGTCTGGATGGACACACACTGTACGGGGGGTGAATGTTTTGATGACTCATCAGTTTTGATTTGATGAAGGATAAGAGTTATTCACAATAAGGCGTGTAGCTGACCTGATTGACAGGTGGGCGCGGTGTAACGGTTTGTCAGGAGGTTTAAAACCCGCCTCAGCTCCAGCTCTCAGCCTGTCGTTAGGTTGACTGAAAGTTAGACTGAGACAGCATTTCCAGCATGGAGACCGCCATCGATGGGACTCCAGCGCCCCCTGCAGGGACAGACGGGGGACGTCACACTCATATTTACAGTTTATGGTTTTTCTCCTTTGTCTCCTCTCTGATGAACAGGACAATGGATGGAGTGAACGAGGCGGGGGAGGTGAAGGTGTCCCGTCTGCAGATGGAGGGCGAGAACGAGGATCAAACGCCTCCCGAGCACAAGGTAGAGGAGAACAACGCGTTGATGTAGCTCCTGCTCGTTCTCTCTAATAGACGTTGGAGACTGTTGGAGACGTCGTGGTTTGACACTTTGCTCTGCGGTTCACACAGTTTCAGGTTCAGTTGTTTGATGTTAGGTGATCACCACCTTATGAAGTGTCTCTTTTTTCTCTGCTCCAGTGTCCCGAGCTGTGCGACAGCCTTCATGGCTCCGTCCACGACAAAGAGAACAGCTCGACCATGAGAGCAGGTGAGGCCAAAACAAAACTTTACACTTTTTGTTTTTTTAAGGGCGTCAGTGTAAATGTGTCCAATTTTTTATTTTACTGCCCCATCCCTTCCTGCTGTGTGTGTGTGTGTGTGTGTGTGTGTGTGTGTGTGTGTGTGTGTGTGTGTGTGTGTGTGTGTGTGTGTGTGTGTGTGTGTGTGTGTGTGTGTGTGTGTGTGTGTGTGTGTGTGTGTGTGTGTGTGTGTGTGTGTGTGTGTGTGTGCAGCGCTGTGTGCTCAGGTGTGTAAGGTGTACAGGTTTCAGACAGAGGATCAAAGATGGCTGCTTGTGCGGGAACAGATGTCGGAGACGCCGCTCTCTTTCTCTTTGCCCAAACAGCTTCTGAGCGCGCTCATACGGGAACACACGAGCAGGTTCTCCTCAATGATACTTTCCAGTTTTTGACTAAATACAATCTGAAAATCGCAAAAAAGTTGAATGAAACGGAGCAGAAAGATGTTTTAATTCATGACAAACGTCTGTTTCTCCTCGTCAGAGTCCGGGAGGTGAGGGAGCTCGGGGACTTGTCGCCGCACTGGGACGGGCTCCGTCATGACATCATCAACCACTGCAGCGGCCTGATTGGCTGTTATCAGGACACCCTCTCCGAGCTTGACAAACTCTCAGGTGTGAAGTCGGTCAGAGGACGGCCCGTCGTTACGTTTCGACCCGCTATGAGTCGTCTGTGTCAGGATTAAGTCGAGGCGAAGAGTTTGTTAGCTTAGCTTAGCATAAACTAAGACGTTTCACCAGACGACTCATCATCACTGAATGTCTTTTTTTATGCTGAGATCTTGTTAGCTTAGCATAAACAAAGACGTTTCACCAGACGACTCATCATCACTGAATGTCTTTTTTTATGCTGAGATCTTGTTAGCTTAGCATAAACAAAGACGTTTCACCAGACGACTCATCATCACTGAATGTCTTTTTTTATGCTGAGATCTTGTTAGCTTAGCTTAGCATAAACAAATACGTTTCTGCAGACGGCTTATCATCACTGAATGTCTTTTTTTTATCACAATGTATTCATTTGGTGTGTTTGACTTCCTCCTGTTGCATTGTGGGTAAAGTCATGTCTGCATGGCTCATGTTGATTTTATTTTGTGAACAGTGTCGTCGTGTTTTAAGTCGAGCGGCAGTAAGTCAGACAAACACCTTCAGTTTGTTTCTACAAACCTGCACGCTCAAAGGATGGAGGTCACCGCTGCAGACAGCACAGGTACAAAAAAAAACATGTTTTTATTCTTTTTAAAACATTTGATCTCTTTTAGCCACTGAGCCATCCACGCTAGAGAGTCCGCCTGCTGCTCGGAACGCTCTCTACTCAAAAACAATCGAAAGAAGACGTTGGTGCTCAGAAAAGATGAAATGTCAGTAAAGTCTTTGAATCGTTTGATTTCACTCTCTCTTGTCGTGCGTGTGTTTCGCTCTGCAGGTGTTTGGTACGAGGTCATAACATTCGGCGCTCCTGCTGATCATCACCAGGCCTTCAAACATGGAGGACTGAAGAGGCTGCTCAGCAAACACTCGAACCAAGCAGACAGGTGGGTGAGTGTGTGTGTGAGTGTGTGTGTGTGTGTGTGTGTCTGGCTCCTCCCTCCATATTGTTTCCTGCAGATTAATCTCTATAATCTCTCTCTGTCAGGATTAGCGAGGCTCGGTGTGGATCAGAACACAAATACATTTAGTTGAGTTTTGATTCGAGGAGCCTCGGTCGTCACACGGCAGCTTCAACATGAAGAAATCAAAACAAGATGCTTTCATCTTAAAATAAAAATAAAAAAGACATTTTAGGTCTGTGACATTTGAAAAGATCTTATTAATGTGTTTTATTTTCCAACATGCTATGAAAAAGAGGACATTTTGCTATGGAGTCATGAATACAAAAAGGGAGTAAAAACAATCAAAGATAAAGATGGTTTGCAATGAGGTCACTGTTCCAACTGACCACGCCCCCTCAGTCAGCACTAACATGTGTCTCTAGTCCGTCTACAAATCCCCCAATGATGAGAAAAGTCCATCCTCTCCGTCTTTTCCCTGCTCCACTTTTCAGAAAATGTGTGCTCAAACAGGCCGTTTGGAGATTTTCCCTTCATGACATCACAAAGGGCAGTAGCCCCTCCCCTAGGTCGGTGACCCTCCCACAGCTAGGTGTTTGTTCTGCCCTCTGAGTCTGTCTTCTCACCGTAAACAATAGGACATGGAGCGAGAAAGCACAGAGTACACCCGAGCCCTTCCAGAGAGGGGGTGTGGTCAGACACAGCTCATTTACATATTTAAAGGTACAGACACAGAAACAGCCTGTTCTGAGCAGGGCTGAAATAGAGGGGTTTATAGACATGATCAAATACAGGATCAGAGTGGATTTAGAACAAGAAACTTCACACACATGTTTTGAGGAGCTCTGAGACTTATTTACACTGAAGAAGAGGAGGAGGAGGATATGTCACCTTTAATGTCTACCGTACATACATTCAGGACATTTGGACACTAATTTTATCACCTCTTGTTTGTCTCTCTTCAGCTCCGTCTCTTACTCAGAGGACGAGAGCTGCAGAGCGCGGGAACTTCTCTCCAGCGTGGCCGAGCTGCAGCCTCTGGTCTTCGGCCTCGCTGAGGAGCTGCTGTCCGTGTCTCAGGAGCAGAACTCCTTCCGGCTGCAGCATGTCCTCAACGCTCTGAATCAACAGGTGAGAAAGGAAGACAAACACAGGTGACGTACTTCAGGCGTATTCTATTTTCCTCTTCATCTTCTCTCCTCTCTCAGACGGAGCTGTTTGTTCACGCGCTCAAAGACGAGCTGGTGAAGAGCGCCCTGTTAGCGATACACAACCAGTGTGCAGCGAACTACAACAGCAGCCATGTTCACAGCAACGGGTTGCTATGTGACAACACGTCAGCCGATCAGGAAGGAGAGACATCGTCGGGACAACAGGAGGCAGAGTACGACGAGGAGGAATGGGCAAGTTTCTCATTTCTTTATTTTCTAATCGTATATTCCTGCAATAAGTCAATGAAACCCCAAAGTCGATACAAAGTAAGGATAAAAACAGTAAGAAAGGAAGTGCGACATGTTCCACATCAATAAATCATAAAGTCTGTCCTGTGTAAATGTGTCTCTGAGTCCTGACTGTCTACAATGAGGGAGAAGCTCGAGTCCCGCTGGCTGTGTTGTTGTCAGAGCCGTGTTTACATGGACGGGACGGCCGGCTCCTCCCCTTGTGTATAAAAGCTGTTTTAGTCAAGAACTAGAGAGAAGAAGAAGAACATACTCACTGATTATTTGGATGTTAGTAAGAGTTTTTAGATCACGCTCATTCTGTGTCAGTTTACATGAAATGTGAAGCTACGAGCTAACTAAAGAGCGCTAACATTAGCATGCTAACAGAACAATGTGAAGCTACGAGCTAACTAAAGAGCGCTAACATTAGCATGCTAACGCAACAATGCAGGACACACCCAACTGCAGCTCAAGCTAAGGACTTCTTTCTGCAGTCGCCCCCTGCTGGACGTTAGAAATACTCTCCTCTTCTTCACAGTCTGTGTTTGTGCTTGTTTTAAATGTCTGTGTGTGTGTGTGTGTGTGTGTGTGTGTGTGTGTGTGTGTGTGTGTGTGTGTGTGTGTGTGTGTGTGTGTGTGTGTGTGTGTGTGTGTGTGTGTGTGTGTGTGTGTGTGTGTGTGTGTGTGTGTGTGTGTGTGTTTAGGACAGGGTGTGGGCGAATGTCGGCAAAAGTATCAACTGCATCATCGTCATGTGGGATCGTCTTCAGGGGCAGGAACGACCTCAGGATCAGACGCCATCAGATCAACAGGAAGCCACAGCAGGGGACACGAACTCTCAGAACACCGGTGTGACACTTCATCATGTCTACCTTCCAACATGAGGATCTCTTTACCAAACACAGAAAATAACAGCATCTGTATCTGTGTCCTCCAGTGTCCTCGTCCGTCTCCTCTGGGTCCTCCTGGCAGGAGCAGCTGCTCCCCCTGGTGGTCACTCTCAGGGATTGTGTGCGGGAGGCGGTGGGGAAGGCTCGAGCCGCCATGACCTTTGTGATCCTGCAGGGGGCGGTGGCCTCCTCGGTCGCCCATGGACCCACACAGATCGTCCAGAGGCGTCACGCTGTCTTCAGCCAGGCGGTGAGACACAGAGAGAGAACTAAAACACTTCAGAAGGGGCGGGGCTAAATGTTTACTTCACCACACACAGCATTAACTAAAAATCTGTGTGTGTGTGTGTGTGTGTGTGTGTGTGTGTGTGTGTGTGTGTGTGTGTGTGTGTGTGTGTGTGTGTGTGTGTGTGTGTGTGTGTGTGTGTGTGTGTGTGTGCGTGTTCGTGTGTGTGTGTGTGTGTGTTCGTGTGTGTGTGTGTGTGCGGTTCGTGTGTGTGTGTGTGTGTGTGTGTGTGCGTGTTCGTGTGTGTGTGTGTGTGTGTGTGTGTGTTCATGTGTGTGTATGTGCGTGTTCGTGTGTGTGTGTTGTGTGTGTGTGTGTGTGTGTGTGTGTGTGTGTGTGTGTGGTGTGTGTGTCACAGCTCTCAGCGGTGGCGTGTGGTTTCATGTTGAAGTTGAACGCAGGTCTGGAGGATCCTGAGTACCTGCAGCAGCTTCTCTCTGTCGGAGTCCTGGTTCAGTTTGAAAGCCTGCTCAGCACCTACGGTACACACACACATTCACACACATACACACCACACACACACACACACACACACATACACACACTAACTCACATGAGGACCCAACATGCTGTATATGCTGGATAGATATAAACGTACAGGTGTGTGTGTGTGTGTGTGTGTGTGTGTGTGTGTGTGTGTGTGTGTCAGGTGACGAGGTGGGGATGTTGGAGGACATGGAGGTGGGCGTGGCAGACCTGAGCGACGTTGCGTTCACTGTCACTGAGGCAACAACGGAGCAACCAGAAGACACTGCTGCCGGACACTCAGAGGAGCATGGTGAGCAGCACACACATACACTCACACTCACACATACACACACTCACACACACTCACACACACCACACACACACATACACACACTCACACACACACTCACACACACACTCACACACTCACCACTCACACCACACACACACACTCACACTCACACACTCACACACACACATACACACTCACAACACACACACACACACACCCATACACACACTCACACACACACTCACACACACACATACA